ATGCAGAGTGTTAGAAATATCCTGTAAATCGTTACGATCGTTTCAATGTGTATAACATCCCTGTTGGACAGTGTTGTTTGTTGGGTGTGGGATTCCCTCAGTAAAATATGCCGGACAGCTTTAACTACTTTTTTCTCTTTAGAGTACCGGTATTGCACATACTACTGTATACAGGAGGGCTATGTAGAAAGAATGTTCAAATGTCATATTATCCATTGCCATTCATTATTGAAAGTTTACCATGGTTACATGCCAAATTGTTTGTAATATTTAACTAATTAACATGCTTAACACGGTAGGTCTTTAAATTAGGCGATTCCTAAACATTACCCTAACTGCTATGAATATACCTTGTTTTCTAGACTATGATGTGACTCACCCTGGGAGTGGCTGCTTGCTATGTCTGTCTGTCTATATCACTTTTGTACAATTTATCACAATCAGTATTTTTCACAAAAGAAAGATAAACTAGGCTCCATTATCAGGTGTTGACAGTCAAGAGATTGTGGTGAGTTTGGTGTCTTGTTTAATGGTTAAATTGTGTCTACTTCATTTGCAGCATGTTACACTTTACAGGGTGATAAATCAGGGTGGAGAACTATGACATGAGTGATGGTCTAATATGACCAAACACATGGTACAGTAGTCAAGAAATTAACCTGCAGCATTGACAGGCACTAACAGTGATAAACATATATTATGAACATTCATAAGCAAACAGACAGTTTACCAACCTACAGGAGACCGCCTCCATGGTGTAGTGGTTAGAGCGTCCGCCTGGAGAGCGGAAAGTCGCGGGTTCGGTCCCTGACCTTGTCATACCATAAGAAGTTAAAATATGATACTTGTTGGTCCCTGCCTGACGCTCGGCATTAATGGGTACAACAAGGGCTGGTCGGCTCGGAGTCAGTATAATGTGTGGTAAAGACGTAAAACCCAATTTCACCTCACCTCACCAACCTACAGGATGCTTCTAATGATGAAAAACTCTCGCAGGTGTTTCAAGTGGTGTAAAGACATGCGATACTATATCCTGATATGAGGCCCCTCAAAACATAAATTCACAAACCCTATAACGCGAAAAGTACAATACAGGGCCTAGATTTTCGAAGCTCTCTTAGTGCTAAGATAGTCGTAACTGCCATACACTAACATTAACTTTCGACTATCTTAGCGTTAAGAGAGCTTGAAAATCTAGGCCCAGTACATTGGTGAAAAAGCAACAAATCTATACTGTTGAATGATATTGACAAGCTTACACAGATTGTCTAGTATTTTCAGGCTGGCTGTATAGTATGGTGTTCAAAGTCACTCCAGTTTCTGTGTTTCCTCAATATCCCATCTTTGTTTTCTGAGTTAAAAAACAAATATGGATAGTTGTGATTCAGTGGCTACAAAAGAAAAGAACATCGAACAATGAAATATTAGTACTCTATTGTGATACAAGTCATGTCATAACCCTAATGTATTATTGCTATTACAAGTTGCATACATGGCAGTCGGTAATGAGTGGGCTGTTAGTGTTAGGCATCATTTTCAGATTTTAGCTACATTCTAAGGACTGTTTTGATAACTCAGCTTACCAGACTAGAGAAAACTTGACTGGACTCACTTAGAAATTTAGTTAATAAAAGCTATCCCTCAAGACTAGTGTAAGCCTTATGTTTGCTCACTCACTAATTGCAACTCCTTATACAGGACAAACCTATTTATCATGTTTATTATATTTAAACTTTCTAGTTTTATCCAGTTCCAAATTGTAGCAAAATTGAGAACTAGTTCAGGATTACAGCTTTTAAATGTTTCTAGCATTTTTCTCCTTCCCTTCTGCACAGTTCAGAAAGTTTCTGAGGAGAAGGCTAATGTAAATTTTGAAGGCTACAATCTGGCTACATACTTAGTGTCCAAAGTTGCGGACTGACATGATTACTTTGATCCTTCTGTCAGTATATCAGCTTGGTCTTAACCCTCTTGTTACAAGGTACAAGTCAAACATGTATATCTGCACTTTCTAGATCCTATAATAGTTGTATAATAGTTGACCTCACATGGCAAACACTACAAGCGGGAGTTGGCATTATTCAGGTCAGGGAGTGGCATTAGTATTATGGGTGTATATTCACTGAATTTGCATACATTATCCCAAGTGTTGTGCCCTTATTGTATTTGTAAATGAAATATTACTAATCACAGGTGTAAGAGTTGTAGAAATAGACCCAACTATACCCGGATGTACACTGTCTCCCAGACACAGGTATCAGAACCCAGCACTGTGTTACCACCACGTTGCTGCAAACAGTCTCAGCAATTGTACTTGCCTCACAGTATTCATGGAGGTTTGTATTAAAGTGAAAAACACAAGCTTCACATGTTCCAAGTCAATGGAAGTTTTGAAACAATTTCTGCTGTGGTAATTTTGTATTTGTCGGAGACATTGCATGTTGTCATCCTGATCATGTTGATTGTCAAATATGATGAATAAGCAAATAGTGCTTGACCGAAACCCTCTGTATATTCAAGCATAGCCAGGATGGAAATAGATAATGTTTGGACATTTTATTCATAAGGCCTAAAAAAAAAATCGGAACCACAACATTTATTTTTTTTGGCCTAACGGGGTTGGGTGGGTTGTTAAAGCATTCGCTCGTCAGGCCTCAGACTTGGGTCACAGAAATAGGGTATTTCACCAAAGAGGGATTGCTATTTTAATGCTGTGAAAGGAGAAATAAGTGGTAAGTGTTCATATGTTTGTCAGAATCGCTAATTTGTTTGGTGTTAAAAACACAAGATAGAAGATTATGGATCATGATAGATTGTGAGAGAAACAATATTCAGTGTGTGCAAAGATGTCTTCACCAATGACCGCCCATGTACTGTTTTCTATCTTAAACTCCCATCACGATATGTAGATCAACTTTAGTCGAGATATTCGACCGATCATGATGTACACTTGTTGCACATCATCATCAATCCCAGTATTTGATAAGATTTAGAACTAGGCCGAACAAAGGTTTACAAGTGACTTACACTGGACTTTACAAAAGATACATAGTTCTACCATCTCTTTGTCCCTGAAGGTATAACTTCAGTATCGAACTTGTCAATTTACTTAGTGTCTGGGAACCTTTATTCACTGATTATTTCACAATGGACTTCTGGATTTTCATGGTGATTTATATATGTCATTAATTGATTGCAATAAATCTTGTATATAGAATCCAATATTTGGTGATTATTGATCGTGCTAATTCTACGTACACTGTGTAGTCGGATAGCTTCAGTAGCAGTGAAAGTATCGGCAGGTGACCGGTTATTGCCACCACCCAGTTATGACATACAAGTGATCATGTCTGCATGTACACCATGTATATGTTACAGTCAGATTGTGAAATCAGTCATTTCGTGAAAGGACTAAGACGATCAGCCATTGGCTGTTGGCTATACAAATAGTTTTGAACGTTTCCATCAAATTTGATGTAAATGTCCTTGATAGCGATTGCCAATGTTCTTGATCCACTAAACAAATCGCCAAAACGCATTTTGTGGCCCCGACTCTCAGAAACACGAAACACATGTCTTAGTCGGATAAATGGGAAAGATTGAGCGAAAATTCAGTATAAATGGCCTGTCCAACACTACAATATCATTGCACATAAAGTCACACAGAGAGAATGCCAAGGCTAACCCAGGAAGAAAGAGAATGAGCAGAAGGGATAGTTGAATGGCTGACCCTCTTAGTAATTTCACGAAATGACTGAAATTTTTAGACATTTCACGAAATCACTGATTTCGAAATCTTACTGTAACATATACAGCTGAAGGAAGAACAGAGTAAAATAAACAGAACTTAAAAATATAAAGCACCCAAACAATACCTGTGTTCAAATGAATTAGATAATGAAAATATGCATAGGTGATATCACATGACTAGTTTTAGACAAAGAGCCAGCAACATTGCCATGGACATTTAGTTGAGTAATTGTGGTCATTGTGTAGTTTGGATTTTTTGACAAATACCTGAACATGCATGCTCAAAATGTTTCTAACATATTTTGAGAATCAATATGATGATTCAGCTAGATATTCAATCCACTTTGTGGATATCCATGAACAACATCGATCAGTGATTTGTCTGGTACAGACTGGATTATTTACAGGCTGCCACCAAATTGCGGAATGCATCATCACAGCAACTAACACAGTGTATTCAAGTATTAATGGGTCGACTCAGCTAGAATGTTGCGGAGAGTGGTATTAAACAAATGAACCCTAATCAGTTTGGATGAGGGATATCATCGCATATATAGATATCAATGTATCCCCCAAAATGTTTGTTGATACTGTATCAGTACAAACCTCTGTACATCAATACTGATAGCACTGAAACATTTAATTTCCGCCAGAATATTTACATTTTTTTCCATCACCATGTTAAAATGGACACTAAGAAGGTAATATTTCAATGTTTTACATTTGATCAATCAGTCTTGTGCACATTTTGCATGTTTAGGCCATACCAATTATATTTCTTGTTTTACGAATCCGCCTGTCGTATTTTTTCAAGAATAAGAGAAGAAAAAAATCCCCTGCTCAAAAACTAAAATCCTAATGTTTATATTGGCCAAAAATGTTAACTTACAGAAAAAAACTTTTAGATTGTTTTTTTCCCCATATACACTTCATGAATTGCCAAAAGTAAAATACTATTTGGTATTTAGAAGGAATATTACTTTAACTAGTGATTTTATTTTATTTTTTTTCTCTCCTGAAGACAAAATCCGAAATACAAGATATAAAATTGGTCTGGCCTTAGCATGAAGTTGATTTATTGCAGGTCTAGAGAGGAACATTTGCTATACCTATGCAGAATACCATTTTATGTTATGAATTGACGTATCGTAATACTTATAGAGTTGACGTATCAATTCTAAACTTTGATGCCCCCAGTTTTAATGCAACAAGCATGTACAGTGTTTGACTTGAGTTTTGCTTTATTCCAGAGTGAAGATGTCGACTCAGGATGGTTAGTTTGATGTGGTGTGAGCAGAATGAAGACCTGTAATCATGAGTAAGTATACCCTGGACAGACAGTCGATCTTATTTCAGGGGATGGTGAGGTGGCCCAGTGGTTAAGGCATTTGTTCATCATGCTGAAGACATGGGTTTGATTCCCCAAATGGGTGCGATGTGTTAAACCCATTTATGGTATCCTCAGCTGTATGTCGATGGAATTTTTGTAGTTAGTGGAGTAAAACCATAATTACTCACTCACCTGTTGTAATCCTTTAGTTGTGTTCAGTGATACTGATACAGATGTCATGATATAGCCCTATGTATAACGATAGTTTGGCAGTATTGGTAGCCATGGAAGCAAGTATGAATTGATTACACAAAAGTGATAACATGATGATGGTGACAGTTTTGTCACAATTTTGTGATATGTTAATTCATATATCATACACACATCAAAGTGTATCAACTAGAATATGTTCAGGAAAAGAAAATTAGTAACCTTTTGTGTACGATTATACCTGTTACGCATTCTAAATGAATTTTTTTGTTAAATTGTGTGTTTATATCATTGCTTCTGACCTGTATCTTAAAAATGAAGATAAACAGGCAGTTCTGTGATGAAACAAATCAAGCACTGTTATATTGTGGTGGGTAGATGTTACACACTGCGTCATGTAATACTTTCATGGCATTCACAGCCAAAAGAGAGTGCTGTAGGTTTAGGTTTTGTATGGGGTTTATAAGATGTAAAGATCAAAGTTGTCAAAAGTAGTAAGTAATGAAACAGGATAAGCCATTTTAGAAGCTGATTGGCAGGATAACCCACACATGCTTTATTTTGATTGGATGGTGAAAGATCACTCAGATAGGACTTAATGGAACCTGCTGGATTGATGATACTGTACATATATTGGGTGGATGACTCTTCTATTGATAAACTATGGCATGATTTGGTGGTTGAACTGCAAATACATTGACTGGTTGACTCAGACCTCTGGGTGCTTCGTTCTCTTACATATAACACTTTAGATAAGTTGGGTGTTTCATTCAAACCTTGTATTCGCATAGTGTTCTTTAGGTTATATTGAGGAATCAATGTTATAAATTTCATCCGTTTGGAGTATGGCATAATATGATAAGAGGAAATATGTTTCCTTTCTTTTAATATTATTGATACTGATATGAAAATGGCTTGCATGATATGAATTTTAATCCCTGATATGTGATGTGAAGTGTTTTGAAATCAAGCGTGAAAGTCCAGGTGTCTTTATCTTCATAGCCAAGATGTTGTTGTTGATGTAAGGGGTGTCCCTAGATTATCATCCTACAGGAACATAATTCAAGTAGCCCTTGACCTTCACTGATATGTACACACAGGTACACTCCTTGCTGCTCATTGATGCATTATGATGTTACATGTATGTAGCATGCCTGTAGCATGTCTGTAGCGTGTCTAATTCTCAGGGCAATCTACTGACTTGTTTGTCATTTGACCCAGCATCAGTGACTTGGGTGTGACACTTGTGCTATACTGACAGTGGTTTGAGTTAGTCTGGTTCGGAGTGCCGGGACACTCCATCAACATTCCGGGACACTCCATCAACATGTCGTCTTGCCGACTCAAGACGACTATCCTCAAATGTTAAGCATTGTGATGGGCATACTAGGCCAAACATAACCTGTTCTTGCATGCTTTGACCATTATGACTGGTTGTTTTGATGAGAATGAATATTTAAGAAAGCCGAAAACAAATTGCAAAGGGACTGTTTAATAATTGAGGAATATCCCATGAAACTGCATGGCTTATATCCTTTTGATTGTGATGTCATTTGGGAAATCACCGAGGATGATAAGCTAATTCAGTGTGTTTATTGATTGATTTTTTCATTGCTCAACAAGGAAATTGAGGGCTGATATACAGTCCTTCCCTTTCTTCAGTTATTCATGTAGCCTTGTTTACAAAACATTGAAATTTCACCTTGCCTTTGGATGATTTTGTTTGTGTTGTTGTGCAATGAAAAAAAACTGCTTGGTATTTGTAGAATTTCACTTTAGGCAGTGGTATTGTAATATGAAGGATATATTATTGTGATTTTTATTGAACTACATAATGCATGGGACATAATTATGCTTACTGTTTTCTAATGTTGCTTGCACTTTTGATCACTTGATTGTCTGGTCCTGACTAGAATATTTTGCTGACAGCCAAATTGTTCAACAACAAAAACAAATAAGAATTTAGAAGTATTATGTGAATATATTGCTAGGCTAATCATGTTTAGAGTTTATAATTAGGGATATTTACAACGTTTTCACTTGTTATTTTCTATGATTATTTACAGGCTGGTCTTACTTTGAAGGTATTGCAGATTATCAGTGTATTGCTAACAATGCTTTTGCAATAATGGACCAAACCAGCATTATACCAAACTCACTCACTCCCTCATCTTGTAGAGGTCTCTGTATCCTAATCTATGAAGTAATACTTATAAATTATAACCATGCTCTTTGCATACCAGCAATATGGTAATAACAGTTCTGATTCATGCTACAGTTACCTACTTAACAGTACTTAGCATCAGCAGAGGCCCTGTGTTATTAGTCATTGAGCAGTTATCGTAACATATATGGTGATTGGTGTGAACTGTCAAGCAGAGAGTATCATTTACTTACAATAACAGTGGGCACGGCACAGTGGTCCGATCTGTGATGGGTCACTGTGTACCTTGTTCCACGGTCATACGTTCAGATCCTATAATCCTTGGTCTCACAGCAGCATGATCATGATAACTGAGTTAACTGCGCAAACTATGACATTAATCAGGCTTCTGAAATGTCTGGAAATGACTGAAATACCCATATTAGCATTAATCCAGAATACAAAAACATGGCTTTCTCAAACATGTCGCTGCCATATAGCTGGAATATTGCTGAGTGTGGTGTAAAACTAAACTCAATTACTCACACAAACATGTTAAACTCATTTTTATGCATGTCAATACATATATGCAGCTGCCTACATGATCTAGGTCTCTTGTTTACTGATGCAGTTTTGAAAACAGAAGGAAGTAACTATGTGAGTCCAGTGTATTTGGGAGTACACTTTGTCAGTAAAGTATAGATTCCAGTACTTTTGGCTGGGTTGAGTCCCATACAGGATTCGAATCCACACCCTCAGAGTCAGGCACCTAATATCCAGCACACAAAGTCAGATGCCTAACCCACTCAGCCACCGCGACTTCCACTGAGGGTGTTGAGCGGGTGTGGGTTCAAATCCCTGGATGGGACATAATTGCAAGTATAACATGTTAGATTTGATCATTTTCTAAATGGCACTGTGTAGTCATATTTGAGTCAAGTTTGTAATCACCAAAACTTTAAAGTGACACTGCTAAGATGGGATTATTACACAGGGATTGATGGCACAATTACTTAGTTTTTGATCATATATTTACCACATATTTACAGAGGGGTCAGTTAAAGTTGATCACTAATAGGATGTTACCTAAAATAATCCTTGTCACATGCAAATGAATGAATTTAATTGATTTTCAGTGCAGTGTTTGTCATAGAGGCTTTACACAAATACTGAAAATGAAATAGCTAATTGTTTGTCATTGTATGCCAATGGTGGATCAGTCCTTACAGTAGCAGCAATATCAGTTGATAATTTACAGAACAGGTACGTGCCTGCACATGTGAGTACATATGTGTGTGTGTGCGTGCGTATGTGTGCCTGTCTGTGTGTGCATGAGGATGATGAGTACATTTGTGTGCATGAATACATCTGTGTGTCTGTGTTTATGTGGGCTGCTTGTATTAGTCCTGTCTACTGCTGTGTGCATGAATACATGTGTGTGTCTGTGTTTATGTGGGCTGCTTGTATTAGTCCTGTCTACTGCTGTGTGCATGAATACATGTGTGTGTCTGTGTTTATGTGGGCTGCTTGTATTAGTCCTGTCTACTGCTGTGTGCATGAATACATGTGTGTGTCTGTGTTTATGTGGGCTGCTTGTATTAGTCCTGTCTACTGCTGTGTGCATGAATACATGTGTGTGTCTGTGTTTATGTGGGCTGCTTGTATTAGTCCTGTCTACTGCTGAGTTTATGGTGTTTAGTGCATCCAATGAGATACCATGCTGTAGTTTATATTGAATGCCTACTCACAGTATACTGTCACTGCACCCAGCAATAACTTGTTTATTCCCTTGCTGCATATAGCTGCGAAATGGCTGATTCAGCGATAAGCAGTACTCACTCACCCACCCCTTGTTTATTCCCTTAATACAGAGGGCAGGGTAGGGTACTTTCCTATAGCTGGAATAGTATGAACTGGGATCAACCGACCCCCTGCTGTCTGGGCAGACGAATCTGCTGAAGAATAAGAAGACATATGATATCAGTTGTATATCAGATCTGTAGTCTGCGGACCGCCTCCGCGGTGTAGTGGTTAGAGCGTCCGCCCGGAGAGCGGAAGGTCGCGGGTTCGATCCCCGACCGCGTCATACCAAAAGACGTTAAAATATTGTACTTGTTGGTCCCTGCCTGGCGCTCGGCATTTTTGGGTACAACAAGGACTGGTCGGCTCGGAGTCAGTATACTGTGTCTGAGTGGGGCATTCATGCTTCACTGCGGCATGGTATCTCAGTGTGCTAGCACTATAAAACCAGCTTAAGTCTGGGCTAGTACAAGCAGTCGCACATACACATACACACGCATGCACGTCATCATATGAGCGAAATATTCTCCAGCACAACGTTAAACCCAATTTCACCTCACCTCACCTGTAGTCTGCGATTGTCCAGTAGAGAAAACATGATTTTTTTCTCCTGTTATGTTATGTAGATATATTTTTGAAAATTATAAATATGATTTTGGCTGAAAGAGTAAGTATATGAACATACAGGAATTATAATGAGCTGACAGAAGACAACTGAACACATTGAATTATATTCCAGTGCCACACCCTGTAGGTCACGTAGGAATGTTAATAGATCTCAGCAATAATTATTATCTACGGTGAGCTAAATTGGGATGGGCGTGGTCAGGAACACATTGTAACTTGTCATGATCTCAATTAATGATAGCACAATCTAATACATGATGTATTGAAATATTAACAACAGATGCCTCTATGCACAGGTCACTCTAAAACTGATTTAGGTCAGCCTTTCTTTACTGTAAGTCACAAAATGGGGACAGTGATTCCACTTCAACTCATCGACAAGTATTATTTGGTGTTGACTAATAATTCAGTTTGGTGAAATGGTTGTTAGCTTGTAAAGATGTTAAATTAAGGATTTAGAGATATCGGAAAGGATTTAGCTGCATTACATGAACGTTATTTCTTAATCTGGTTTTGTGTGTTGATTCTCTGTAAAGGTTATCCAGACAGACTAGAGGTTTTATAAACCATCAATACAGGTGATTGTGTACAACATTATCAGTTCCTTTATGGTTGCCATGGTTACAGATTTCATGTTATGACTCATGCATGGTTTCAAACTGTGGTATATGAATCATTAAACATGCTATACATGTAATCTGTTGTTACTCAGAGGAAGCAAAGAAGACGCTGATGATGGTTATCTTAAGGAAATACCGTGTCCTTGTTCATCTGGTGTCCTGGGCTGGGTTGATAATGATTTATATCCCCCACCTCTCTGTGGGATGCTGCTGTGATTCCAACAGATAACACATGATGGGGAGAAACATGGGAAGATATTAATCTTCATTCTTTTATGTGAACATTATGCACATGACATCAGATTAATTGTTTCAAGGAACATTTTGACCTTACACATGTCACTCAGTGTTTGGAATGAAGCAGAAACATTGAGGAGTTGTTGTCGTAACCCAAACATACCTTATGACTGTTAAATATGGAACAGTTTTGGAACTAAATCACAAGATATAAATGCTATTGCAGCAAGTCCCTAGATTTAATTAATATTGTATTAATCACCAGTTTCATGTAATGTAGTCCCAGAACTAACCACTGGTAATTACTATAATGTTTTTCAATAGCATTGATGACTCATTAGTGTAGCTGGCAGAGAGGTTGTTAGACATTGACAAGATGTGTGGTTTGGAAGTTTTCTGCACTATTTGAAAGGAAGGACCTCTACAATGTTACCATTCCAAGCTATAGAATAATTCTCCCTGTGGTTGTCATTTCTGCCGTTGGTGCCAAAGATTGATGTTCATAGCATCAGTCACTAGTATCTATGGTCTACACTTGATTATTGATAAGCCACTGTCATATTATAGCTGGAATATGGTCTGATGCTGCATGAAAACAACCAACAATTGACTCTAAACACACAACAGAGAAACAGACAGCAGATTGGTTTGTGTAACTGAAACCCACTGATAAGCCAATGGTCCTATTACATGCAGCTTGTATAATGGTGTAGAATTTCCATGTCAGATGTAATTGTAATGTGAGCCTGAAACTAAATGACAATTGAGAATGTTGTTTAGTCTTGAGAGAGCTGAGGATGTAATTTGAGTGCACGTTGATTTATTGTTTGGGGATATGTTTGTGTGGCTACAGATCATGCTGTATGCATGTATAGGGCACTTTATAGAATAAGGATGATGATGGTGATGATGATGATGATGGTGATGATGATGATGGTGATGATGATGATGATGATGGTGGTGGTGGTGATGATGATGATGATGATGATGATGATGATGATGACAACGACGTCATGGTTATTGCAGTATTGCTACAACTGAAACTGTTTCTGTAACTCATCATGCTCACAAATTGGGTTCCAATACTATCAATACTTAATTGCATTTCCTCGTGATGATAGGTTTGCACGACACAATGTAGCATCCAGCATTGCACTGCCATGATGAGTTAAAGGATCACAATAAAGTGGTCTGTGTGGCTAGTTATGCTGTGATTACACTGAAGGTTAGGAGGGACTAGTGAAGGGTGATTGATTGGACTGCAGTGTCTACGCTGCCACATCGTGTTTATGTAGTGTTGAAAGGTAAACTTGATGTGGTTTACAAGGTGCTTGCTCTATCTATTCCCTTGATGTTGGCACACAGGATCTGAATGCAACTAGGTCAACAAGAAAACAGGCTTATTTACGCTTTGTGTACACTTGAATGGGTTGCTGAGCAAAAACGTTTTCTTTGGCCTGTGTTTCTTGCATATTTATCGATAGATTTTGTCTCAAAGAGTTAAATATTTACATTCCAGAGTGCTTGAGTGTAGCTTCTTGTATTTCCTTTCTGTATATAAATGTCAGAGGTGATAAAAACAAATCCAGGGTGATGACATCATTGTATGTGATGAAACCATAGCCGATGTTATGAAACCATAGTGAAGGTGATGAAAACTATAGTGGATGTGATGATACCATAGCCGAGGCGGTGAACCATAGCTGAGTGATGAAATCGTAGCAGAGGTGATGAAACCATAGTAGAAGTGTTGAAACCATAGCCAAGGTGATGATACAACAGCTGAAGTGGTGAAACCATAGTTGAGGTGATGAAACCATCACCGAAGTGATGATACTTCTGCCAAGGTGATGAAACCATAGCCAAAGTGATGAAACGGTTCGGAAACCATAGTCGAGGAGGTGATGAAACCATAGTCGAGGTGATGAAACCATAGTCGAGGTGATGAAACCATAGTCAAGGTGATGAAACCATAGTCGAGGTGATGAAATTATAGCAGAGGTGATGAAACCATAGTCGAGGTGATGAAACCATAGTCAAGGTGATGAAATTATAGTAGAGGTGTTGAAACTAAAGTAAAGGTGATGAAACCATAGCCAAGGTGATGAAATTATAGCAGAGGTGATGAAACCATAGTCGAGGTGATGAAATTATAGCAGAGGTGATGATACTACAGCAGAAGTGATGAACCATACCTGACTGATGAAATCATGCTTGAAGTGATGACATGATAGCCTCTTGTATTATGTACAGAAACTTAGGTCCTGAACTGAAGTGGTTCTATTGATTTTAAGTGGAACTCTAAATATGACAGAGGTTATGTAGAATAAAGTCAAACTCAGAAAGCTGAGATGGCTCACGACAAATTGAGTTCATGTGTGACAGCAAATCGTTGATTCCTCTTAGCTGTCTGTATTCGAATCTATCCTCGGCTTGAACACTTAATCTCTTGTCGGGTGTTGCTGTCAGTGCTTAGCTAGGTGTGAACAGCACCTTTTATGATGTTTAAGTGATTCTCAAGTGGACTAGTTTGTCATGAACACCCAGACGTAGTCAAGGTATGTGTGATACTAGCACCCAGAAGGAGGTGGTATTGTGAGTCAGTGGACCTTGGCCAGTAAGAGTGTGTACGGGAAACTTCGGGCTGGGCAGTAGAGGGAAAGTATGTCCACTGACTCAAAGCCACCTATTGCCCCAGATACTGTTAGCTCTATTGCCCCAGCTAGTGTTCAGTCACTGTGGAGTCACTGTCCAGCTATCGTCCCAGCTGCAGTCGCAGCTGCATTCATCTAACTATCATTCAAGCTCTGACTGTTGTTCAGCTGTAGTCCCAGCTATCGTTACTATCCCCAGCTGCAGTCCCAGCTTTGTCCAAGCTGTTTAACCTGTCCCACCTTCCTCCTATCCTCTAACTCATCATTCAAGTCACACTTCCCATGCTTCACTCTCACAACAGGAAAGTGATCATGACTCTGACTGTTGTTCAGCTGTAGTCCCAGCTTTGTCAAACTATTGTCCAAGCTGCTTACCTTGAGGAGTTACTATCCAACTATTGTTCAGCTGTAGTCCCAGCTTTGTCCAAGCTGAATAAACTTTTGTCATCTTTTGTAATGCGTTTGTGTCTTATGTTTAACCTGTCCCACCTTCCTCCTATCCTCAATGTGAATTCCAGAGCACTCATGCATTATTTTACCCAAAACTTTGAAACTGAAAGTGTTTGTTGTATGTGATTTTGTCACACTTCCCATGCTTCACCTCACAACAGGAAAGTGATCATGACATGCCTCCCATGTTATTCTCAGTGAGAAAGCGGAGGTATTTTTCTTATAGTCACTGTACTTCACGTAAAATGAAAATATAAAAGAAACATGAATGCTCATGAGAGATCTTGACACTGTTCAGTCTACATGATGTAATCATAAGCTTGGGGGACATTGCCAACAGAAGGATTGGGGTGATTTGTCAAACTGGTGTCTGAGTAAAAAGCTCCCAAAGACAGTCAAGAAACAAACAAAACATATTCATTCTACAAGTGGTCTGCTGCCAAGGTTTAAGTTGTAGCAGACCTCCTTAACCCTGGATCCCCTGTGTTTTAACCTTGGTGTTTTTTAAAGGTTTTGAACAAAGCCTTGGAGCTTGCTTTGCAATGTGAGTAAATTTCATTGACAAACAAACATACTGAATGTGAGCGGATGTTTATGTTTTGAGTGCATGTCGAGATTGCAATATGAGATTGTTTTGTATTGAAGGTGAAGCACGTAGGTGGTAATTCATGTCATTACTGACCACATTCTAGAGTAAACAGTGGATCCAGAAGCTGTGCTTAGTTTCATGATTAAGGCTGTTCCAAAAGACATTTCCTATGACATACATCATTTCAAAATTGAGCATTATTTCAAGGGGTCCTTGTCATTACCCTGATGGTTAAAGATAAGATATGGGGGTCCCTGGACTCAATTCCCAAAGGAGCAGATCACACACCCCAGGATCTCCAGATCCTCTTCGATTCAAACACTGCAGAGTGGCTACAGTAGATGCAATATTTGCAGTAGGAATAAAAGTTTGATGTTCCTAAAACATATAGCCCTTTGAATCTTGCATGTGCATGCACACAGAATTATGCCAGAGCCACGAAGTGGCGAGGTCTCTATGGGAGTCAGTGGGCATAGCCCCCGTAAAATTTTGAAATTTCCTTGCATTTCAGAGAATTTTATCATCATTCACAAGTCAAATTAGCTGAGAGAAACTTTATTTTATTTTATTTTTTCCTTGGGGAATATATGTTTTTGGTGTACCTGTTGTGTTTCACAAGTCATCGGTTCACATGTCCACAAGTCATTATTTTGAAGAAGGATCAACTGAACTTTCACCCATTCATAAAGAATTTTGGGAGGTGTCGCACACAACACATGACTTGGAAAATTCGAACCGCAAATAACTATATAAGGTATGAATTCGTGACATGTATGGTCATACACAGTTCTGAGTTTTGCACGCCATCTGGTGAGGTCTCTATTTATAAACCTGGGGAATTCCAAGTTATGGTAACATCACCATGTCAAAACGGACAATGTTACATTTCAGTATCATGAGAATTAAGGAAGTAATTTAGTAACTACCCAGAACACAAAATTCTTTGCGTGCAGAACACGCAGGTAGAAAATATCGTGCGTGAAAGGTAGATTTATTTGCTTGAAACATGCAGGTTTTTGAGTTAAGGCGAACACAGAAGAAGATCCGGGGTAACACTGATATAGTGATTTAGTGTTATTCTGATCACAGAGCTACAGATAACTTTTTGGGTCCTTGAGTTATGTACTCCCTTGTCTTCATCTCAATTGGGTATCCTAATTTTCCTTTGAGTAACGAAATAAATTGTACTCACCTCACTCAAACTCAATTGGGTATTTTGCCATTTTCCATTAATTTTACAAAATATAATAAAGTTTAAATGTTAGTGTTTTGATTTACATTTGATCTGTAATATGGGAAACAATTAGAAAGACTGCAAGTTGTCAACTTCATTTTCTGATAGGAACCTCTCAATATACTTCAGTTAATTTATCTAACCACTGATAAGCAAGCTACGATTTGACATTTTTGTGTGTACACATGTAAGATCACATTTATTGAGTATTTACATAACTTCAAGCGTACTTGTACGCAATAGACTTAACAGGAATTGAGTTTTCACATAAATATTTAGCGTAATTTACGCAGATACGCAGCTTATCTGTACCTCTGTGTTCATGATTGTCTGATTGGTGCTTCTGCAAACATCTGTCATCAGACTATTCTTTGTCTTCTTAACTGTCTCGGAGCTACCCGGTCTTTTTAAATTGATTTTATGCCTAAGGTATGGACTGTTATAAGTTGAGCTATATATAGCTACTGGTAACTTGCTAACTAGATTGAAATTAAGGACTTTTGACGAATATTATGATGGTTATGTGAATAAAAGGAAAGTGGGTTTGATTATGTAATGTTCATGATATCAGCATGATTTAATTACTTTTATTGATGCAACAGGTGGTGATCAACATGTTCACAGTGTTTTTCTCCTTCATTGTTTCAGCAACTAGCACTGTCACCGACTATGATGAAATTCAAAGGGCTGCCAAGGAGAGGGCAGAGATTGTCGCCAGATATGACAAGGTAGATGCAATTATTCATTTTGTTGTTGAAACAACATGAGCAAACAAGGTATATTTCAAACATAGCATCAATAACTCTAATATGATGTTCAATTTTGATACAAATTTTGCCATGTCAATCAGTTGTAGATCTTTGGCTACCTGTTAGGTATAAACACACGCATACTTCCATGTATCACAACATCCCATATTTTTCATAGTTTCAATATGTTACCATTAACAACAGCATAGGAACATTTCCAAACCTCAATTTGATTTACTGTCTGGATAAATGGACCCCGAAGGAATGATAAAATGGCAAATCTAAATGTAAAAAGAAAGATTTTGACTGATCGTCACTTGGTCAGGTTTACAGTGATATGACCCCTGTCAAACAGTACTTGCTCCAAGATATTCTGTTGTGTGGATATGTAGCATTTCTGCGGTACCAAACATGAGCTTGGCCATCATTCATGAACAAAACAAATTGACTTTTATCCCCATGACCTCAAATTCCAGTGACATCTAGCTTGGCATCAAACTAGTCATGGTTCTTTGTGCACTGGGAATAGCAAGGGATGTGTGATAGGTCGTATGGCTCTATATCCTGCTGAGTTTAGGCAATTTGGACTTACTGTTGGACAAACAAGGACATGGGAGCCACTCTGTTTTCAACACACCACTTGACATCAATGGATGAAGTTTTGTGATTCTGAGGGCTGTATTTCCCCTAGGTGTTGCCACTTATGGACACCCTGAGGTCCTTCATTAGTTTGCTGATATCTTCTGGCCAATTGGCTGAGAGTCCGGGGATGACAACCAACATCTTGTGCAGTAGCCCTCAATTACATGCCAGCAATTAGCCATTTTTGAGCAGTTGACAGTTTGGGAGGCCCCACAAAAATGGCTATATAACTCAATATTGATGTCTGACACTGTGCTAGGTAAAATTGAGGAGGGTTATATAGGGATCAACTTCAATGTTTTTGCGCATATGGAGGTAAAAAACAGAACAACCAATGTACATACTCATTCCTGTGTAAATCTGTACAATGGATCCATGCTAAGTATGCACAATGGTTTTTATGTTTGTAACTCAACATAATTCTGAAAATATAAGTCAGCAATTATAGCTTTACACAATTCTTCTTCATATATCAAAACAAACAAAAACACTCTGAAATCAGTAAAATCATTGGCATGGAATCCATTGCAGTTTATTTATGTACAAATATCATTGGATGAGATGGTCTGACTCCATGTCTGGATTGCGTGTCATCAAATCCCAGTGGCTTGGTATATTACTCATGTTGTCATTGACTGGTTTGTACAGCTTACTGCCAAATCCAGGAAGACTGGGTGCATCCTCAAACACCAGACTAATCGTACATCTTTTGTTTGTGTATTCCAGGGCAGAGAAGAGGGTGCCCACATTGACCCTTGGGAGGATCCAGCATTTGAGGTCTACCAAGTGACAGACAGATTTGGCTTCATTCAGTATGTAGTTCACACTTATTAATTAACAGCTGGTTCTTCTGACTAGTTGTGGTAAAGAACATTGAGCTTAGTTACTTTTCACCAGTCCAGATTTTAAAACAGTACATCCTAATGTAATCTATGTAATCGTTTAATAATTAAAGAATACTGTAGGGATGTGTGGATTTTATCAGGGATTCCATAGTAAGAACTCAAGGCATGCAAACTGGTCTTAAAGGGGATTTCTTCAAAGTTTATCATTGTATTAATCAACAGTGTATGTAATAACCTAAAACTAAGCATTAATGTCTTCCCCTTTAAACGCCCCGATCTCAGGAAATACAAGTTCACTCGACAAGCCAACACTTAAGTTATAACTATGTTGAAATCAATTGAGATTTGGTTGTTGGGTTAATTGGTCCAGTTTTGAAATGTTTACTGAATTTGTTCTAATCTTGGGGCCAAGTATCAGCTTCTGATCAAAGACCCTATCCACAAAGGTTCAGTAGCTCTACGTCATTGGTAAGCCAGTGATATAGTTTAGAGTTACAATAGATCGTAATGCTACGAACACTTTGTGGAGCATGTCCCAGGCCTATGTACATCCCAGTGTGCGAGCTGCATGCATCATGTATACACCTGTGATCTGGTTTCATGTGTATGTATAACTAGATATTCCTCTGTCTTGCAGTGACCATGCTCTGCCTGCCACCACAGATGCTGCAGAAACCAAGGTTTGGAGTAGTGCATTCGTTGTCTGAAATTAATGCTAGCAAGTGGTAAAAATGTCATATTATAGTCTTGTTTTGCTACAATACTTTGCAGCAATTATATCAAACTGATGTTATCATTGTTAGTGTTTTCTGATCTAAAAAACTCTTGAGTAGCTAATGGAATGTATCAACATTAGTGATAGATCTGTAGCTATTCTACAGCCCTTTTAGTCATTCGAGCCATGTCAGGTTTAAGCTGTGTCAGACAAATTGCCTATACACATTTTTGTGGACATCTTACGATAATTTCATAAATTATGTGTAACACCAGACTATAGTACTGTCGGAAATAGAAAAAAACTGTTTTTAGGCTGTTACTCTGTATCCCTAAAATTGACACAATTGCAAATAGCATATGTCGAAATAACCCACTTCGGTCTAACTGGGCGTTCAGTGGGATGCGAAATACGATATCCAGAAAAGCATGTTTACTCGTAAAATCGGGCAAAAGTTGCTGCTGAAAACAATAGATCAGACTATAGATGGCAATTAGGTCGCTCAGCCAGGTTTGACTACGGACCGTCGACTCACCTGGCATGAAATGCAGGTGCTGCTTACAGGCACAAGGGGTCATCTCAAAGATATTTTGTGCTTTTTCATGTGTGTTGACTATGTCTCATCTACTGATTAACATCTTACGTGTCTTTCTTTCATAAAGTTTATGTTGAGATATGTAAGAGAGTATGATACCCGAAAACCATAGAAGCGCGATCAGAGTATATAGGTGGCATGACCACCGAAGATCGACAGGACTGGATATTATTTGTAAATTGTTATGGCGACGCGTGTACCTCCCCAGTATAATTGCCCTAAAGGATTATCTTATCTTAGCTGATATCTCTATCCCCCAGCCCGACCCCAGGTTTTGCTTTTGAGGCGACCCCTCCTATCTGTTTCTTTTTATAGTGACAGTGAGACTGCATGGTAGCTACATCCTTAATAGTTTCGGCATAAAAGTTATTATTTTTTACGTCAGCTATCGTTTATAATGTATCTACGTCTAATTTCAAATTGGGCATTTAAAAAGTGTCCTTTGTAATACAATATCGTCGCACACTAATTTGCATAAAGCCATGGTCTGTTCCAAATAAGTCTTTTTGGACTTAGAAAAAACCCTCATTGCTCATTTCTGCACTAATTTCCCCTCAGTAAAGTCCTTTTCTCACTTTCACATATCAACTACATAAATTGTAGAGATAAGTAAGAAAATACAGTTTTTTTCTATTTCCGACAGTACTATAGTTCGAGTTAACAATAAAGTTGAAGTGGTTGTCGAGAGAATAGGTTGCTTTTAAGGCTGTGCTCTCACGAAGGTGTGCTTTGGTGGTGGCCATCTGGAAATTTTAGATTGAAAATTTCACTTTAGTGTATCAGAGGACATGCAGAATGTGCAATGTTAATTCTTAACAATATGAGATACCAAGTGTTTACACCAAATGCCTATTCACTTGATAAATCAATTGTAGTTTTACTATCAGATGTTGAGACAATGTTCATAGGCCATGTAATGTTTCATTGCCTTAATGGGATGGAGAAGCTGAAGTGATGTATCATTAAAGCAGATTGAATGCTTCTTATGGTCGCCTTTTGTTTCAGGCTAAGACTCTCGAGATAGAGAGAACTCAAAAATGGTTGAAAATGCTGAAGAACTGGGACAAATATTTTCCCGGTGAAAAGGTAAATAAGGTGAAAAGCTTTACATCATTCTTCTTCATGTTGTTCGTATGAAGGTCCAAGGGCGGATCCCATAGGAGGTAGACTGATGATTTGATCTTTGTAGTGACACAGCCTTGCTTACTCTTTGTGTCCTAGTCACTTAGGTTGTTGCTTCAGCAAGTGTCACAGGTTAGGGATACTGTCATGGATAGTGGTGTCATGTGGAGAGGGATAGTTGGTTGTGGAGGAGATGGTAGTGTCATATGGAGAGGGATCGTTGGTTGTGGAGGAGATGGTAGTGTCATGTGGAAAGAGATCGTTGGTTGTGGAGGAGATGGTAGTGTCATATGGAGAGGGATCGTTGGTTGTGGAGGAGATGGTAGTGTCATGTGGAAAGAGATCGTTGGTTGTGGAGGAGATGGTAGTGTCCAATGGAGAGGGATCGTTGGTTGTGGAGGAGATGGTAGTGTCATGTGGAAAGAGATCGTTGGTTGTGGAGGAGATGGTAGTGTCATATGGAGAGGGATCGTTGGTTGTGGAGGAAATGGTAGTGTAATGTGGAGAGGGATAGTTGGTTGTGGTGAAGATTGTAGTGTAATGTGGAGAGGGATAGTTGGTTGTGGTGAAGATTGTAGTGTAATGCGGAAAGGATAGTTGGTTGTGAAGATTGTAGTGTAATGTGGAGAGGGATAGTTGGTTGTGGTGAAGATTGAAGTGAAGATTGTAGGGTAATGTGGAGAGGGATAGTTGGTTGTGATGAAGATTGAAGTGTAATGTGGAGAGGGATAGTTGGTTGTGATGAAGATTGAAGTGTAATGTGGAGAGGGATAGTTGGTTGTGGTGAAGATTGTAGTGTAATGTGGAGAGGGATAGTTGGTTGTGGTGAAGATTGAAGTGTAATGTGGAGAGGGATAGTTGTTTGTGGTGAAGATTGAAGTGTAATGTGGAGAGGGATAGTTGGTTGTGGTGAAGATTGAAGTGTAATGTGGAGAGGGATAGTTGGTTGTGGTGAAGATTGAAGTGTAATGTGGAGAGGGATAGTTGTTTGTGGTGAAGATTGAAGTGTAATGTGGGGAGGGATAGTTGGTTGTGGTGAAGATTGAAGTGTAATGTGGAGAGGGATAGTTGGTTGTGGTGAAGATTGAAGTGTAATGTGGAGAGGGATAGTTGGTTGTGAAGATTGTAGTGTAATGTGGAGAGGGATAGTTGGTTGTGGTGAAGATTGAAGTGAAGATTGAAGTGTAATGTGGAGAGGGATAGTTGTTTGTGGTGAAGATTGAAGTGTAATGTGGGAGGGATAGTTGGTTGTGGTGAAGATTGAAGTGTAATGTGGAGAGGGATAGTTGGTTGTGGTGAAGATTGAAGTGTAATGTGGAGAGGGATAGTTGGTTGTGGTGAAGATTGAAGTGTAATGTGGAGAGGGATAGTTGGTTGTGGTGAAGATTGTAGTGTAATGCGGAAGGAATAGTTGATTGTAGAGGAGATGGTAGTGTAATGTGGAAAAGGATAGTTGAATGGAGAATGGAGCCGGCACGTGGTGGACAGATTTAGATTGGGGAGGCAAGGGATATGGTATTTTATGAGTTGTTTATGATCATGTATGGTAGTCCAGACAAGAGATTAGTTGGAAGGATTGTTTCTTGAAGTTGGGTAGGTTATGTACGTCATTAGATTGCACAAATCATCAAGGAGAAGGGCTGGGTGCTTGTCATCAGCCTGTGCGTGGTACCATTCCGTGTCTTGCACCATTCATCAAAGAGAAGGGCTGGGTGCTTGTATCAGTAGTACGCGGCACGTCATTAGATTGCACAAATCATCAAGGAGAAGGGCTGGGTGCTTGTCATCAGCCTGTGCGTGGTACCGTTCCATGTCTGTATCAGTCGCTGCACGTCATTAGAGTTGGCATCCTCATCTTGGTCAGTGGTCGCACCAGGTCATATCATGTTGTCAAGATTGTTTCAAATTCATTATCATGACATATACCATCGGATATCTTTCAAGTTGTGCTTTGTCATTGAACGTTTGCAGTAGAACCACAAGTAGCACCATGTTTTGTTCCATGATATCAGGAATGTTTGGTTCTGGTTTGGGTTGCAATCCACTGGTCCGCCCTTGTCATTAACACTGTCCATCTATCTAACCATTGTCCTTGTTGTGTTTTCTAACCTTGTTATCTGTAGATTAGCTGCTTCACTATCATGTATTGTGTAGACAGTGATAAAGTACATCATTCATGTGCACTGTACCTTAATGCCATTATAGTTCATACGGAGATCAGATGGTAAACAGACAATGTCATACATTTAATTTTCCTGTCAAATAATGTCATCGTGACTTGAGGAAAAGACATTTTCCACTTTCTACTCAGTTAAAGACCCACTTGTCATATCAACAGATGAACATGTAGATGACAAGATTGGCACAGTTGTTACCTCTGAGGGAGAATCTTGATTGCTTCCTGTTTGGGATGTTGTTACAATCAGTTGTTTAGTTCGACAGTCCTGTAATTCCTTAACATATCAGTCTTGTTCCTTGATGTGTAAATACAAACATATTAGTACACTGTAAATCATGAAATTAATGTCACCAGTTGAATGTGTGTTTAGATTGCATCATGGTGTGAATGTGAACAACCTTTCTTTGAAATCTAAAAGCACCCTCTCATTAATTGACAAGCATAAAGAATGTTTGATACCATTGCATGGTGTGGAGTTTTACAGTTCGAGTTAATATTTACACTGACATTTTCACCTACTTCACTTGAATGTAGATAAGCAATGTGCTGTATTTATGAAGCGTCACAATGTAAGCTTTCATTACTGTAAGACAAACATGACATACATGGAGGCTAAGACTGCCATGACAGGTTGACCCATTTGTCTAAACAGACCATTATTTGATACTTTACCCAGTGAGAAACAGTCAAGTGCAAATGTTTTCTAGGGTTTTATGTGATAAGCTCCATTGTATGCAGTGCAGAGAACCAATTATGACAGTATGGTCTGTTAAAGTTTTCACTGTAATTTCATGATTTACAGTAGATGTTTTATGTTTGGTGTTCAGACAAACTAGGATTTCAATGCCTCAGTATTGAGAACCAGACACTGACATTGATCAGCCTTTATTAAATGACATCAGATGAAAGGGATTTTACGAATGCTTCCAACAGTGTGACTAGTTGCTTTGCTTGTGAAGTTGTGTTCATTATTCAGTATTTGCAGTGTTATTAGTTTGCTAGATACTTGCAATAGTTCTGTTCTATACAATACATTACAATAGATATTTGAGAAATATTGTTTTAATATAAATATTTAGAATGTACAGAATGACCCAGGCTTGTCTCTGTTTAATTACACTGAATTTATCATTATTACTGGAAGCTCAGTATAGACATCTTGTGTAATTTCCACATCCAAACACTTGCTTATTTGAACACAGTATTTGAATGAACTCTCCCTAAAAACCCAAACTTACAAGATGCGTGATAGTGTCAGTTGTTGATCGTTCCATATTGCTTTAATACTACTGAAACATGATTTTGTAAGAACATTTTGTAGCAGAAAGGAATAGATTAATTATAACTTGTATGTTACAGTTGATTAGTACTTCTGTTTGATTGCCATATTACAGCCTGAAATGACATTGATATGATAGGTCTGTCTCAGTATTATTAATGTTGGTGAAGAGTTTATATATATAAATAATGTGTGGTAAATATTCCATTACTTATAAGTTGTTGTTTGCTTGCTTTCTTCTTCATGCTTGAAAATGAGTTCACCCAAATGACTTATATTTGTTTCATTGTTGAGATGAGTTGAAGGACATTTTGTCATAGGTGTAGCAGTTATCGCAAAATGCTTTATAAAGAGTATTGTATTGTGTTAATAACATGCCAGTTTTTATGATGTTATTTTGCTAATGCTGGTGTTTTATGACATCTGTCAGTTAACGAGGAGGATCTACAAGGGAATCCCTGACCGACTCCGGGGAGAGGTGTGGTCTCGCATCCTGAACATCACCAAGATCAAGGCAGAGCAGGACGGTGTATACAAGGTAGGAAACACCTGAAGTGTATACAAGGTAGGAAACACCTGAAGTGTATACAGGGTAGGAAACACCTGAGGTGTATACAAGGTAGGAAACACCTGACGTGTATACAAGGTAGGAAACACCTGGAGTGTATACAAGGTAGGAAACACCTGAAGTGTATACAAGGTAGGAAACACCTGACGTGTACACAGGGTAGGAAACACCTGAAGTGTATACAGGGTAGGAAACACCTGAGGTGTATACAGGGTAGGAAACACCTGACGTGTATACAGGGTAGGAAACACCTGAAGTGTATACAAGGTAGGAAACACCTGGAAGTGTATACAAGGTAGGAAACACCTGAGGTGTATACAAGGTAGGAAACACCTGAGGTGTATACAAGGTAGGAAACACCTGAAGTGTATACAGGGTAGGAAACACCTGGAGTGTATACAAGGTAGGAAACACCTGATGTGTATACAAGGTAGGAAACACCTGGAGTGTATACAAGGTAAGAAACACCTGGAGTGTATACAGGGTAGGTGGTGTAACACCTAGGGTGTTTCTAGGGTAGTTGGTGTAATACCTGAAGTGTTTCTAGGGTGGGTGGAATTAATCATGAAGTGTTTCTAGGGTTGGTGGAATTAATCATGAAGTGTTTCTAGGGTGGGTGGAAAACACCTGAAGTGTTTCTAGGGTAGGTGGAATTAATCATGAAGTGTTTCTAGGGTAGGTGGAATTAATCATGAAGTGTTTCTAGGGTTGGTGGAATTAATCATGAAGTGTTTCTAGGGTGGGTGGAATTAATCATGAAGTGTTTCTAGGGTGGGTGGAATTAATCATGAAGTGTTTCTAGGGTAGGTGGAATTAATCATGAAGTGTTTCTAGGGTAGGTGGAATTAATCATGAAGTGTTTCTAGGGTAGGTGGAATTAATCACCTGAAGTGTATTCTAGGGTAGGTGGAACATCATGGAAGTGTATTCAGGGTAGGTGGAACAATCATGAAGTGTATACAGGGTGGGTGGAATTAATCATGAAGTGTTTGCAGGGTAGGTGAAACACCTGAAGTGTTTCAGGGTGGGTGGAATTAATCCTGAAGTGTATACTAGGGTAGGTGGAGTTGCACCTGAAGTGTATACAGGGTAGGTGGAGGAAATGGTAAGTGTATACAGGGTAGGTGGAAATACCTGAAGTGTATACAGGGTAGGAAGTTGCACCTGAAGTGTATACAGGGTAGGTGGAAACACCTGAGGGTGTGTCTACAAGGTAGGTGGAGTTGCACCTGAAGTGTATACAGGGTAGGTGAAGTTGCACCTGAAGTGTTTCTAGGGTAGGTGGAAACACCTGAAGTGTTTCAAGGTGGAGTTGCACCTGAAGTGTTTCTACAAGGTGGAGTTGCACCTGAAGTGTTTCTAGGGTAGGGAGTTGCACCTGAAGTGTTTACAGGGTAGGTAGAAACACCTGAAGTGTATACAAGGTAGGTGGAAACACCTGAAGTGTATCTAGGGTAGGTGGAGTTGCACCTGAAGTGTTTCTAGGGTAGGTGGAATATTCCTGAAGTGTGACAAAACTTGTAAGTATTTTCAGTGTAAGTTGGCTCTTTTGAAACACTGTGTAACGAGTGAGATAGACATCAGAGAAGTTCTGTTGAGTTTGTTCATGTGATTAGCCACAAATGAAGACCAAAATATTTGTGTTTCGTTCTTAAAATCTGGTGGGAATATAAAATCACCTTTTCATGTATTTAGCGAATGAGAGAGCGTGCCAGGAGGACGTCGACCCACATTCGCCAGATTGACTTGGATGTGAACCGAACGTACAGGAACCACATCATGTTCAGAGAAAGATACGGTGTCAAGTGAGTACAGGGCCGGGCAGATGGTGGGGGGATCTGGCTCCTGCTGGAGGATAGGTCTGTGGACCATTACTAGAACAATAATTGTTCACCATATGTTTGATCTCTCTCACCCATCAAACTGTCAACCTAGATCCAAGGCTGATCTGTGGCAAAAACTCTCATGAATCATACTGACCAGTTGTTGAATGTGATCTCTCATGCTTGGTTAAACACACATAGACATTATGTTGATATGAACAGGGATAGACATCACTGGTCACCTCCAACTAGGCTGCAGTGTTATCGGACTTGTTGTTTAGTACTGACTCGTCTGTCTAGATTGTTACCAGTCTTGGAATAACAGACTGGTAGAGTTTAGTGGGTGAGTGAGTTTATCTTTACGCTGCTTTTAGCACTATTCCAGCAATATCACGGCAGGGGACACCAGAAATGGGCTTCACACATTGTACCCATTTGGGGAATCGAACCCGGGTCTTCGGCATAATGAGTGAACACTTTAACCACTAGGCTACCCCACTGCCACTGGTAGTGTTTATCTATGATGACAACATATAGATCATTTGCATCAGACTCCATTTCCAAACTATTGTTTTGTTCTGTAGTGTCAGGAAATTATCCCCTATTACATAGTTTTAACAACTCAAGGTTATAGAGTTTAAGTTTCTGTGATGCTGTGTAAGAGATGATTAATGCTTGCCAATGGCGTATTCAATCCTGTTAATAGTTTTACTATTTTATTTGCTAGAAAATATATTAATAATTTTCATACCCTCTTTTCCTGAATATTTTAGCTGCTTCAAGCTTCATAGGGTTTCATGATTAAACTAGGTCCCCAACAGCACATACTTGTCATTATGGATCCAAAGATCTTACTCAGGGATTCAACATGTCATTGGGCACTTCTATTGAACGTTGCTTATGATGCCAATCACTGGTTTGTCTGGTCCAGAATATATTGTTTAAAGCCTGACGTATAGCTGTGATATGGCTGAGTGTGCCATTAAACAAGATGTAAACACACAACAAGTAACTGCCTCAAAAGGGTATCTCATCGATGTATTCCTCTTGTGTTGCAGACAACAGGCCCTGTTCCATGTCCTCGCAGCCTACTCAGTGTACAACACGGAACTGGGGTACTGCCAGGGCATGAGTGAGATCGCTGCCCTACTGCTCATGTACCTCAATGAAGAGGTATTACATGCTTAGTGTATCCCTGACTTCTTTCATCTGGCAACCCGATTTCCCTGTATTCACACCCAGAACGGTCAACAACTAGTGTACTGGTTATGGCTCTCGTGTTGCTGAATATATTATCAACACAAATCACAAAACAGAAAAATAAAAAGATTGAAAATGTTATTATTTGAATCATATATTCTGATATTCATTAGTACTGTCTCATGAAAGCATGCTCACAATGACAAACATTGGCCCTACTCATATTCATTCTTTTCTATAGGGTTTGTAGATTGGACTCTGTCATAAAATACTGTACATACATTTCTGCTATGATTTCAGGAGGCCTTTTGGGGCTTGTCCCAGCTGTTTGTCACAGAAAGACACACAGTTCATGGTAGGAACCAGATTGTGTACTGTAAATAGTTACCCAGTGTTCTTCTCGTGAAGGCATGGCGAGGTAGCCCAGCCTAGTTTCACACACACTGTGACAAAAGCTGGGAATTGTGAACAGTGTTTAGATTTTGATTGAAAAGACTTGGGATTCAGACAAAATGCCTTTATGAGATTTCATCATTCCTAACAATACTATGCATAACTGTGTAGTGCCAGAATGGATTGTTTCATATAATCCATGGTTGATGGTGCAGTTTCAAAGTGTGATGTATTGTTGACAACAACATTTACTGCATTGTGTGGCCCAGACTCAATTATTTACAGGCCACTTTTATGTATCGAGAATATTGCTGAATGAATCTTTAAACAACTAACATCAAATATTCCTGTAAGTAGCTAGTAATTGCAAATTCGGCAATAAACAATATTTTATAGGGGAGCAAACCTGGCAAAGCAATCTAAGGTCTCATCTTTGTGTAACCCTTCATCACATTTTTCAGACCATCCAGTTAATGCTCCACAGTTTTATCCAATGCTTTTTGTGTTCAGGCTTCTTCATCCATGGATTCCCCAAACTCCTGCGATTTCAGGAACATCATGATGTTGTCTTGAAAAAGTTCCTCCCCAAAATCCGAAAACATCTGGTAAGATACTTAAAGTAAATTCATTAACACACCAACTGACAGTTATTGACTATGCATGGGCTCTATTGCTGAGAATGAATGTGTAACATTCAGTGTATTCAGTATCTGCTTGATAGGGAACCTCTGTATTTAATTAGAAGTAATAATTTCAAACATTCATTGCTAAGGTAAGCTTAGGGATTGCTTGTTATAACTGGTTGTAAGCACCTTAAGTTGGTCTTATGAAGTGACTGAATGGATGGTGTGGTCGGACTTGGGGACTTCACAAACTGCTTACCAGTCGTACCCAGATCGTTGAGAATATATCTCATATTATAGCTACAATGGATAGAATTATCATTAAGATGTTATCAGAAATGAGCGGGCCACTGTAACTTGATAATGCCCAAAAATTGCTTGATGACGGGCCATTATCACGCCCGTTGTTAGTTGACTTCATAAGGAGCTCAGCTCTTGATGTTCAATCACTTACGGCTCATTTGAACTCGGGTTCAATATTGATGATATTTCTGACTCACATTGGTTCCATGTACCTGTGCGAACCTTAACAATTGTACAATAAATTACAAAATGCAGCAATGAAAACATCAACTGGAACTCTAACATTGTTGAGCATTGACAAAATTGGTGGCTGGTAGTATGGGCAAAGGTTAAGCTCGAATGTTGTCACTCTCAACAGTGACGTCATCTATGACGTTTCCATATTTGTAAAAAGTTTGTCAGTGACCTCCATTTGTTGTTAGCAGTAAATGGTTCAAAACCGATCCTGTTATTTGTTTTTGTTTTATTAAAAATTCTATCCATTTAGCTATAATAACGGTAACGCTATTTTTTTAGGGCATTATCTTTTACCCTTATAGTATCAATCACTGGTATTGTTCTTGTGCCTGGGCACATTGGAGACAGGGACACTAGCGTTGTGAGACCGCTGGAAACTAGAACACAGCCACCAGGACATCGGCTGCCGTCAACTATCCATCAGTAATTTAGCACAGAGACACTTTCAGTGGAACATGTTTTGGCACTGTGTACCTGTAAAACATTGCCACAGGCCCAACCTCCAAGGAAACATAAATATAGTGTATACGTTTTTGAAATAGTATATTTGTAACTGTTTCCAGTGCAGCATCTGTTGAAGTTTGGCTGATTTACTTGCAGGAGAGGAATGAGATTTACCCAACACTCTACACCATCAAGTGGTTCCTTCAGTGCTTCCTGGACAGGGTGAGTACAACTCATACATTGAAATAGCAGTTGATTAGTAAATAAAAATATGTATGAACAAAGGGACCTGTGACGCTGGATGAAGATCACATGTTGGGTCTGTGATGATAAAGATGGGTTTTATCGTTTTTATGTGTTTTATGTTCCAGATCTGCTTGTTTGCAGATTTGAACTTAAGAATTTAAAAAAATATCAATTTCAAAGCAGTAATCATTACTTTTTAAGGTTTATGTTATCATATTAGTATGTATCATGTTGGGTAAGCATTTTTTAAACACATTTGAAATGAGGATGTTAATATATGTTTATGTTTTAAAGACTTACATGAGTAAAGAGGGTAAACCAAATTTTCTATTGTCTTGTCTTTGCTTGTTTTGTTCCAATAGTCTGATGTACAACTACATTACCCTTTATTCAGTGGATAGCATCCTGTAGTTTCAGCATGTTTAAATAATTAAAATACAAATTGTGATGTATTGCTTGTACTTGTTAGTCAGAGTGTGATGTATGTTGTTTGCCAGACTCCCTTCCACCTGACACTGCGACTGTGGGATGTCTGGATGTTGGAGGGGGACCGAGTGCTCACCGCCATGTCCTACTGTATTGTCAAGATGCACAGAAGTAGGTACTCCACATCAGTCTGGTGTAAATACATCCAACGTAGTATATGCTTAATTAATTGACTCTCGCTTGGGAGTTGTGTCACAGGATGGTTCCTCTCTATGTTATGATTGATTGGAGTGGATAGTGAGTGAGTGAGTGAGTGAGTGTTAAAACCTTTGTCAACTGTATCCGTTATGTGGGTGTGTGCGGAATGCAAGCCCATCGTAATGCAGGCTTTAGATGTCCACCATCTTCATGAATGCCACCAGCCTGTTATTATTGTGCTGACAAACCAGTGATTATAATCAGGAGATGTTAATGATTCAACCCCTGACCACAGTAGTATAAAGTGCTGATGTGACAGAACTGGCTTCAACAAATAACAGTGCTTTATAACTGGGCCTGGCTGTTCAGTGGTGCTTGCTTCCTGAAGAGGTTTCCTCAGTTGAATAAAGTTATTTTTCTAAACAAGATATCATTTATTCTGTATTTGATGTGTCTGTTTTCATTTTGTGCATGTACAATAATTTATTGCTGTGTTGCACATGATGCCATGAATATACTAAGCTTGAACAGTATTCAGTTGTATTGAAAAGGAAACTTCTTTATCTACTGAAATTTGCACATGATGATTATGTCAGTTTTTTAATCCTTGTCCTTCCTCCTCCCAGGACGAATTGGCCGGATGCAGATGGACGACCTGTTGTCCTTCTTCCAGAGCGTACTAGAAAAGGACTTCAGCTATGATGACGATGTTGTTGTTGAACAGCTTCAGATCTGTATGGAGGAACTCAGAAAAGCCAGGATGGATGTCCCACCCAAACCGAAAGCTAATGAGTCTCCTACACTTCCATTTGGGCTTGATATCGAGCCCAGTATAGATCAGTTGATAGGCAGGAGAACGGTAGAATCTATAGATGAACATTTCAGACGGAATCCTAGAGGTGGGAAGGCAGCATATCTCCGAAAGCGCGCAATTTGGGCACAAACGGTACCCCTGAAATGTCACGCAGTCGGACTGACACCCGTTCTATACAATCAAGTCGGTTGTCTGAGTACTCTATAGATGGATCATCTTACTATGATACTGCTGGCAACTCCAGAATGTCCTTAGTAGATTACAGTGTGAGGACATCCGTGCCCAGTTCACGGACCTCGTTTGCTGATGCTTCAGAGATGAATAGCCTCAATCTTGGTCACAGTACACAAACACTCGATCGGGTGTCGGATTTTGATCCAGACAAAACCCCTGAGTATGAGCATGTAGAACCCCCCAGAATGGCCACATCTGAGTATCATCAAGGATTTGAAGTAGTTCATCCTATCACAGTAGTTGATGTTAAAGTGGAGCCCATGGAAGCTGAAACACAGCCATCGTCGGAAGCATCAGACTACGACAACCTGAACGGTATGGAGGATTACTCCGACACAGGAACCCTCCGGCCGTCAATGCCCCAGAGCAAGTCTGATGGCTACATGACGGTGCATACTGACAGTGAAATGGTTGTGATGAACGGACACGATCAAATATCTACCAACATGAGACTAACCCGCACTGAAGATAGTCTCCATCAAAGTCACTTTTCTGACCGTACAGATCATCGGGAGGTTGAGCACCAGAATGGTGTCCGGGTCGAACGTCAAATCTCACGTCAGGTTCGAGAGACATCCAGTACAACAAGGAGGGTGATCCACACCAAGTCCCACAAGGAAACAGTCTTTCTTTGAACAAATGCATCACTACACTTAGGTTATTTATTCTTCAATTAAATGAAAGTGACGTCTTTGACATCCACATCATTAGAGTGTTTTACAGATTGGTTAGAAATCCTTTTGTCAATGTTTGCCATGTCTTTTGATACAGAAATGTCATCTAAAACCTCCCAATATTAATATAATTAGGGAATGCATTGTGACAAAAATCCGCTTTGCTGTCTTCAGTTGGTACCTTCCTCATTGTCATTTTTCAAGACAGACATGTCATTGTTATGAATTCAAGGTTACAGGTTTTGAAAACCACCAGTGATGTGTGTAGTATTTACAAGTACAAACCTATTTGATAATATGTACCATTGTTTTGTATGTGGTTTTATAATTATTCATTGATATGACCAATTGTATTGCTGTATGTTGAATGTATAGGGCTTTTAGATTGTTGAGCAATAGAAATGTCTTTGCTGTCACCACTGATGTTACTCAAACTTTTACTCACATCTGTTTTAGAGACCTTGTCTGTGATACTGGGATATTTTGCTTGATGGTCATGTGTGCAAGAGCGACAACCTATGCTTTAGTGTGTCCATCTTTGTTAACAGAGAGTGTTGCTTCGTGATTCCATCAAAATCACCCATCTTTTGTACAACCAGACATGAATTTTACATGATCAAAATGGTCTTGTTCTGTAGGTCATGTTCATTGTGTCACCATGGTAACTGTTACTATAGCAACATTGAATTTCCCCAGATACCTACTTTTCAGCAGTGACTGATGTAAGACTTTATGTCGGAACTTTTAGCAATGACATATTTTTATTGTAGTTTGGTCTAAAAGCTTTTGGGGACATCGTAAAGAAAACCAGTAAAAGGTATTAGCTTTAGTATTAAAACTGGACTTCTTTGAAAATGGAAACTGACATCGATGTTGATCTCAGTGCGATCATGCATACTTGAAGTGCTACGGTCGCTTTGTTGAACACATCAGTGGAGCAGTTCAAACAGACAATTTTAGTTCTATGATCCATAAAACTTGGACAAACTCACCATAGTATTAGCTCAAAGATTGCTTTGTTGAATTGGTCCAGGGCTAGCAACCAAGCAATGTTAGCACCATGATCATAGGTAATACATGTGTGTATGCAGTAAGATCATTGTGTTGAACTTTGACTGGTACAGACATCTTCGAGATCGGAGTTCTTATCTTGTGTTAGATCTTACCTCATGCGGAAGGATCTCACACCAGAGTAGGATTTACCTTATGGACACCCAGAGACATATGTTCATAATAATTTCTGTACTCTGTCCTCACTCAACACTGTCATGTTGTTTGCACATCATCATAAGTTTAACAATGATGTCGCTATGATTGAAACTTGAATACTCTGTTTGATTACAGTTTATTACCATCTTAGATATCACTGTGAATTTCAATTTAATACCATCTTGATATCTCAGTGGATTACTCTTATGTTATGATGTTACATGAATCTTCTGATCAGACAGTCTCATTCTCTTGTGTGTACATCATCTTGCTTCCTGAGGCACAAATTGAGATACATTACGCACATCGGATTCAATCTCCTTGTCTACAGCTATCACTTTTCATCAGTGTCACATGGTCACCCACTCATCTTGACCTTGACCTATGCAACCAATATTTCAAGTGAAACTTACATTGATATCTGCTAGTCAGGGTTGTTTGATATCGGGGAACATGAACAGTAAGGACATCCTACCATGGTATGCATGGAAGGGAGAGCATAACTTGGTATGAGAGAAATACAGATTAATTCATCACCTGGTCTGATTTGGTACAGCTCCCCTAAGTTTGTCCGAACAACCAGATACTCACCACTTGTCTGAACTTCAGAACTTGAAGCTAACACATAGAAACTCAGAGAAGCTCAGGTTACAAAATGTTGATCCTAGAAGTATTATAGCGCATGTGAAAATATTATTATGATGTGAATATTGATTGTAATTTTAGATTAGCTGACGAGCTGTAATCATGAAGTAAATTCATTAGGAATGACATAACATTGTATCAGTACAGAAATGAATGAATACTATGAACATAAATACTCCAGATACATGTAGTTCTGTGTTAGAGATATTTTTCTTTTCAACTTGTTACTGTGTTAATAGAGGTGGGTGCAGATATCACAGACACTCCAGCTCATGGTGGTATCACATAGGTGTTGAGTTCTAGGTAACTGTTTTGATTTTACAACATTGGAGGATATAGTGTCCTGGTAGAGTCTGAATACTTGACTGATCTCATCCCCAGGGCTCGGCACTAACATTGTCTTCCACATGATCCCAAACATTGGGGTCTTCTTCAGTCTGTACAACATGGCTGACAGGTTAAACAGGGATCCAACACCCTCTAAGGTGTAATACAGGGAGATATAACTATACTGGACAAACTAAGTTAGGGATATTTGTATTTTTATGATTGATAATTTATCAGTGTGTCAATGAATAAAAAAATCATTATTCATAATTTCGAAATTTATCCCTAACTATTTTTGTCCAGTATATATGTCAAGGTGGGGAGTAACAGTTAGACACATGGGTACAATGTGTGAAGCCCATTTCTGGTGTCCCCTGCCGTGATGTTGCTGGAATATTGCTAAAAGCGGCGTAAAACCAAAACTCAGTCAGTCAGTCAGTAACAGTTAGACCAGGCATCACACAGATTGCAACTTTTGATGATGTAGTACGAGCTGATTCACTTGTTCTGATTGAACTGTGAAACTCAAGAATAGTGTTGACTGGTTTTCCTGTACACAGAAGTGTTTAGCAGACTGGCGACAGGTGTCTTTTTGGAGATATGTCTTCTTTAGTTTTGTCTACATTTTGGTATCTATATTATATATATTAAACATTGATGTCTTTTTTTCATGGTTTGAGTGCTTGCCTGGACACATCCTCAACTTCCCGTATCTCTTGTGGAAGGGCAGGTCAGTAAACATAAGCAGTGGCTTTACTCAGGTGATGAAGATGCATTGGTGTCTTTGCTGCCATTTTCACTGTTTTGACCAAGTCACAGAATGGGTGGGTTTACCATATTGTGTGTTAAAACCATTAGTCTGCTGTAGGTGGAAACTGTGGATGTTCAGAAGGTTCCAGTTAGCAGGGCATCCATTATAAGGGAGATAACTTTGTAAGCCTTATTGCTGCAGCCTGTGGAAAATTTGGATATTGTCAGCCCCAAGTATATAGACATATAGTACACCAAAATCACAATACATCCTAATATTTTGTTTTTGATAATGAACATTCTCATTTACATACTTGAATGGAAAACTGGAAATATATATTTCTGTTCAGAATGTGATCATATTGAATTTGTTGATTTAGTTAATATAAATATGAGTGGTTAGTAGAATCTGAATGAACAGGACATTAAAAAACAAAGGAGGAAATAAATTAAAAATGCTTTATATCTCGTGGAGTTCAAAGTGAACCCTTTAAGTCTGGACACTGTCATGCTAAACACCAGGCTTCTTTGATGCTGCTGCTAGTATACATGGATATGAAGGACATTACAACATAACCATGTATTCACCATCCCAAAACCTGGTTTAATTCTGCCCATGGATAATGGGTGTGAGAACATTCATGGTGACCCTTACATGATATTGCCGACTTACTTATACCAGCAGCAGTAGCGGGAAGCCCTGCTCCTTTCTTCTGTACTGTTGTGTGAAGGTGTATCGTTCCAGCCTTGTTTCTGCCGTGAAGTAAACGCACATCCACGTGTTCAGCTGTGTAGATATGCTTCATGATGTACATGATTCTTCTGTATATTGATGGACCCATCTTGTCATCCTTGTGTTGTCTCCAACAGGTCAGTGTTGCCCTGTGTCTGAATGTGTGCATGAGTTCTGTGGAATTGTTCTGTTTTCTGTGAAATACAGTTACTGTTATATTCCCTACCAGAACCACCGTCGGTGGTTTGTTGACGTTTTAATATGGGTAACCCAGCAGTGACCTGTATAGTTAGCTGTAAGTGTGTTAAACAAGGTACTTGGTGCATAATGTTCTGTGTGGTTTCAGTCAAATACTCTGAATGTATTTCTGTATATTTATCAGACAGTCTCCTTGGTGCATGATTTTGTTTTGTATGATTACCGTGTTGCAAGTAAATAGACATCATAAGTGGAGTCATCACTACTTACCATTTTAACCTAGTCACTAGATTTGAAAGGAAGCTACTTTTAACGTGACATGTTTGAGTTGATCAGAATTAAAATGGTTAACTGTTGCATTTTTAAGGTATTGGTAGATAGGAAATGATCAACTTTATACAAATGCAAATAGACAAGAATTAAAGCTGATGTTACTTAAACCATGTGTGTGTTTTGTGCATCCTCAGAATTAGGGTCAATGAACACAATGGATGAGGCACCATAGCAACCTCTTGATCAATATTCCAGATAGAAACAGTTCTTGGTTTTTATCACATTGTTTCCCAGCCACTCCTACATTGAGAGTTATGTCCCTCTGAGGATTTAGTACCTTTACGAAGTTTGCATTGCTAGTAGCTCACATCACTGAAAGTGAAGTGTGCTTGTGTCATGCCCTGCTTGTCCAGCATCCTTTAGTGTTGACATCAGTAAAATTCCTCTTCCCAGAAACCACAGGACCAATGAATTTTTAAACTTCATCTTCTTGATATGTTCAAAAGGTTCAAATTTTATTTTCAATGTAGCCACCATATTTGGCAGTTGGTAGGATGTTACTGCGTGTCTTGTGACATATTTGAACAATTTGTATGGGATTAGAAAATGCTTTTTTCTTCTTTGAAAGTTGAAAAGTGTTAATTTAACAATATCTTAAATAGTAGAATTGTTTTTTCGTAGCTTTTTTGATGCGGCAGTACTTCTGACCCCAATATTCATACAGAACATATTTGAATAGCAATGTTGACAGGAACTTTTGTTAGGTGTATGTCCATGTCAGCATTTCCAACTGTTGACTCAGTACATACACAGGTGAGCTGCAGTGGCGCGCTACTTTTAACAGGTTGGTTAAGAGGAAATATACATCTGGGAATGGAAAATATAGTCATTAAATTCTGAATTTAACCATACATGCCAATATATGTAGCTTTTGGTGTGGACAGTGATGAGAAAAAAGCTGGAATATTGCTGAGTGCGGCATTAAACCACAAACCAAACCAAACCAAGGACAAGAAGGGCAGTGGTGTATCTTTAACAGGTTTCAGCTCATGGGAAGATTCTTGTCTGATTGGCCTCACGGGTTCAGTGTGCAATAATTCTGTGGCTAGTCAAGACAAGAAAGTTGCTTGTCACACCCAAGGCCATTGCTCTCATCAGCATATGAGTACAAAGTGTGATGGCCATTGATGTCAGTTTCCATGATGTTGCTGGCTATCACCTAATGTGAAGAGACACTCACTGTAGAACAATAGAGTCATCATCTCATTAACAGCTTCTGGCAGCTTATGGGAAGACTTCATGGTTTCGTCATAACACCATAACACCATCCTATTTCTGATGTCCCATGCCGTGATATTGCTGGAACATTGCTGAATGTGGCATAAACCCAACTCACTCACCCTAACACCCTTACGGTGGCCAAGAGCCGTATGCTTCGATGGGCCACCATCTCCACACTATTTTCACAGAATCCATCTGAATCTATATTAAGATGCCCCATATCCAGGACCTGTATTTGTGAAAGTGATAAGCTTGGACTAATCCACTGATAACTTCATCACTATGTGTTGCACTGATACCTGATCTGTTTTGGCGTGTAGGTGTCTGTTTGTTGGCTGGTACTGACATTCAAACAACTTGGCGGAGACTCAACCTGATAATGTCTTGCTGTTGAGACAATGTTTCATTCCTTCAAGTCTGCCTTTTTGCAAAAATCTAATCTTCTATTCCTTGTTTTATGAGAATGATGAAATTCTGCCAAATTATTGCAACATGGATTGTACCGAGACATCTGTGGATACTTTGAGTCCAGCTTAGAAAATCCATGCAAGATTATTTCAGTGAATGAGAGAATGTGATAGCCAGTTTGTTTGTGCATGCACAAAAGGAGCTGTTTTGTAACACTTTTTACCATGGTAACTGTAACCATGAGAAATACTACGAAGTATAGCAAGTGTATTGCAGATGTTTATATATATTTAGAATGTGCAGGATACATCTGCCATTGTGTAGATTGTATGTACTCCAATATTGGTCTGTGATTATCATGTATATTGGCTGTATATGTTGATATAGTGCCATAGTCAGTGTGTGTATATAGTAGTCTATATTGTGTCATATTGTCAGTGTGTGTATATAGTAGTCTATATTGTGTCATATGCAATGAAACAATTGTAGAGAGTGTCTAGTTATACAAGATCTGTAATCCTTTGTATGAACACTTTTATTTTTAATCAGAGTTATTGTTATACATCAGAATGGAGAAACAGAAAATCTGATTCTTTTATCGTAGTTTCTTGACCGGTTTCCTTGTCTGGACAAATGTGTAAATGTATGTACAAGAAAAATATATGTTTAGAAAACTTTTACATTTCAATCAAAGTGGTTAAAATAGATGTTCAGTTTGAATGAAGCTAGTCTATCTTGATACTGAAACTTCCGGAGTCAAGTGGATCAGACGTTAGTCAGATTTCTATATCTTCTTTAGTTGATAATTGTTTTGTGAATAGGGGTTGTGTGCAAAAATTTGGAATATTTGTTTCCACTGTACATGACATATTTAACCAAAATTCTAAAACTCCTGTTGTGGGTGTAATTTTTTAATTCAGTCATGTGAACTTGGAAAAAGCATTATTAAATCTGTAGTTTTAAGTTGAAGAGCATGGTTCAAAGGATTCTTCAGCCATATATAGCTTCCAGTGATGTAACTTTCTGTTTGCAAGAACAAAACTGTTCAGCCAAACCTTGAGGATTTTGAAAATGTCTTTGTAGGCGTTTTTCTGTTCCTTGGTTTATGATATGTAGATTTGTTAAAGTTAAATTACAGCTTCCTAAAATGAATGCATGTCACAATGCATGTCATGGTGTCCTGTTTTAAGAAATATTCAAACAGCTGACTGATGCTGTGCAATGATCAACCTAAAGACTTCACGGTCATACTCATAGATTTCATTCCCATAATCCTCTTGCCTTAGATATAGGAAAGGTTTACCTCAGAGATATACAGGATTAAGTGCCATTATGTTCATGACCTCTGACCTGTCACTGCGAAGTACATACATACATGATCATGGCTTATTTCACCTCTGGAATCAGTACAGTTGAACTATGACGTTAAAAAGCTTCATCCTATAAAGTGCAATAGAAAATAGTGTTGTGTAAATGTGTACAAATTGACTTGAGTGTATCAAGATTATTCTGACCAAAAGAGAAATGTGATGATCCACTCAAGTAAACAGGTTTCTCACATACACTGGTAAAAAACAGGTACGGATTATGAATATTTTGGAATTGTGTGCTTAGTCCTCACTGCAAAGAAATATCCCCCAAAATATTTATAATATCTAACTTGAATTGTTCAGTATGTGATCCATTC